CCTAAAAACCCATAACCTTGAATTCTGAAAATTTTTCACAATTTGGTATAACTTATAAAAAATAAAAAAATAAAAGCTTCTTCAGTTGGAAAAATGGTCATTAAAACTGTTGGATCCCCTTATCTTGAGGGTTTAGGGAAGGCTAACATATGGTGTGTTAAAAAGCCTACATCGAAAAGACCTGTATTTAGGGTGTTAGCATATTGAGGCCTTGTGTTTTAGACTAGGTCTTTATTTAAATGCTATTTAAATATTTGAACAAATCCATAAATATTCAAAGTTATAATCTGAGAAATGTGTTACGTTTATTCATCGTGGTATATATACAAAATGCTTACAATGCAACTTATAAATAATATGAGTCAAAAAAGACTTTGCATGAAAAATATAACATAATAAAGCAAAACAAAAGGATCCTAAATTATTATTGTTAACATAAATTCAAAATATAAGAAAGCTCTTTAGAATTTAAGATACCTTCATGCATATAGCCGCCCCTCTAACTTTTACTGCACCTTTAGACCTACTTTGTGGTCTCGTTTCGCTTTAAAAAAAGTACGAAGTTCTTTTATTGTTTGATCATGCGGGTCTAATTGTAAAATCTTAAGGTTTTCAGAGACCCTCGCAAAATAAGATGCCATCCTTCATATTAATTGTTTCTTGTTTTGAAAGTTAAAGTTGTTTAAAATAAAATCTAAAAGTTAAGTTGTGAGTTTGTTTTTACCTCTTACTGATAAAATAGAATTTGTATATCAAACCAGGTAAGGAGGTTCTACAATTGCTACAATCAATAAAAGAATGGAAAAGTTATTAATAAAAGTACTATTTTATGCAGGATTCTACATCAAATTACATAAGATGTCTATCATTAGACGAGTCTAGGCGGCCAACTAGCCACCTAGGGCAGCAAGATTTTAAATGGGGCGAACTTTGAAATCTTTTTTTTTTTAATTTTACCTGTGAAATATTTTGACATTAAACAAAAAAATGTGTTAATAAGTTTTCATTTTTAGAAGTGGAGGCGTCGCGATAGAATTGATTGAAATAGAGTAAAAAAAAATTCTGAAGGGATACCAAGTTTTTAATAGGGTTGAGAGCCATCAACTCTATTATAGGATTACATAAATTCAAGAAAATTATTTAAAAAGATGAATATTTGTATGCCACCGAGTGTATTACAATGTCACTACTCACAAAAAGCTGCATTTTTATTTTTTGTCTAGGGCACCAAAAAACCTAGCAACAACCCTGCTAGCAACAACCCTTCTAAACCTAGTAATACCGCGGGGGTTGGGGGGTCCTTAGCCCCCTAGTAATATATAGAACTTTTTTAAAGACAAAGTTTTAAAACATTTCATTTTATAATATATATTAAATGAAGTAAACATTTTTAATTATCAAAAAAAAATTATAATTTTTTCATAACTAAATTTGAATATATAAGTCTGATGATATTATTTTTGAGTTACTTTTATCCAAATTAAAATCACTGAAAAAAACAAACCAATCAAGAAGTTGATAAACTGGATTTAGTACCAGTTTTGTCTTGTAAAATAGTTAAACGAGTGCAGCAACAACCCAACGAATAGGTTAATTCAATCATGTGTCTCCGAAAAAAAATTATTTGGTAGTTTATAAATTAATAACTCTGACTAAAATTGATAAATCTAACTAAAAAGAGCTAACATAGTCAGTTTAAAAAAATGACCGAAATAAATGAAACAGAACAAAACATACAGACTGTTCAAAGTCAAGTTAAAGGTCATTAAGAGGATTCAACTATGTAAGATAAAGAACAAAGGCGTATTTTCTTTACATTAGATCTGCAAAATCTTTTAAATGCCGGGTTCGAAGGTTGAACGAATAAAATTCGATCAAATTGGTTGTCACAGATTAGTTAAGGGGACAATGTTTACCACTGTTCTTCGGTCACTGAATAAATTACAACAGTAGTACGGAAGTAATTTAGTACAATCAAGCAAATTATTTTATCTCCGAGGTGGGTGTCTAATATTAATAAGAATAATTTTTCTTTTAAAATATGATCTTAATTTGGATCTCAAAAAAATTAAACTCTTATACAAAAAAAGAATACAATAATTATCTTTTAACTTGTATTTTGTTAGATGACAATTTTATAAAATTTTATGATTATACCCATCTTTTGAGAACCAGGTTGACATATTATTAAAAAATCTTACATTAATAATATTACGAATCCGTGTGATCTTTGAGGGTTTTGAGCTCCTTCCTCCCCCCCCCCTCCTCCGCTAAAAAATTTACAAGCAAGTTATTTAAATAAGGTGTTGTTTTAATATTTTAATAACCAGCTAGTACACCACGTTGGATTATGGTCTGAACAAAGTTGAGCTGACATAGTATGCAAGAATAATATTTTGTGTCCAAAAGCAGATGTGTGGCGAAGTTTTATTATGTTATACTCGGCGCTTAGATACCTACCTAATGCTTGTCATACTGAATGGTCATATAATGATATCCTACGTGCTACTTCTGCTAAAATGTTTTCTTTTTTGACTTTCTTATACTAATTGTTAAATTTCTGAATCTTTTTTCAGGCAACCAAAATCATTTACTTTCTCTACGTGAGGCAAATTTTAAGTTTCGAAATTACTGCCCCATATCACTTCTACAGTTTTTGGTCATGGCTGCCAAAAGAAAAAGTAACAAGGAACATTCCCGTAATTAAAATAATATATTTTTAGATTTCATGATAATTTTCAATACTTTTCTATATTTTTTTGACACCCTCAGAGCCTAATGTATGATTTGTTTATTTTTTTGTTTTTTTGTTTTTTTTTTAAGTTTATATATATTTTATATATGTTTAATTTTATATATTTTATATAATTTATATATGTTCTCCTGAAAAGTTGTCGAAACTATTTAATAAGAGTTTATAAGAATTTTGATAAATTTAAAAAGTAACAAGGATTTCAGTTACTGGTAAAATTCAACTCAGTAATTCTCAGCCGTTATTGCAATAATCATTCATTAATCTTTATATGCTTATGAACAGTGACACACTCAGCAAATCGTTTACTTTATGTATTCTTGGGTTTAACTGCCTATAGTCTTCAACCTCTTTTAGAAGCTTTGAATATTTTTCTATGGGAAAAATTGATTGCAAAGCGCCACATACCTACATGTGTCAGCAATGCATAAAACCTGACACCAAACGTAAACAAATACGTACAAAATATAATTATTAACTGTTGTCTAAAAGCGAGGTTCGGTAATGCATCAAAATCAGTTGTTTAAATAAAAAATGTTTTAACAGCAAATTTCCTAATAGTTTTCAAATGATCAAAGATCTTTAATAGTTAGCCTATAGCCTTCAACCTCTTTTAGATGTTTTGGATTATTTTTAAACGAGAAAAATTGATTGCAAAGTCCCACATACCCATGTATGTCAGTAATGCATCAAAATTGACACTAAACGTAAAATAACGCGTACAAAATATAATTACTAAGAATCAATTATAAGTGAAATTTGGTAATGCATCGGAATTGTTAGTTTAATAAAAAAAAGTTCTAACAGTTGTTTTTGAAATTATTTTCAAATAATTATAGCTCAATAGTTAGTCTATGACCCTTAACCTCATTTAGAAATTTTAAATGTTTTTCTACGCGATAAACTCTTTGCATAGTGCCGTATAACTATGTGTGTCAGTAATGGATAAAAATTGATACTAAACGTAAACTAACGCGTACAAAGTATAATTGATAACAATCATTTATAAGCGAGTTTCGGTAATGCATCAAAATAAGTTACTTAACAATACATTGTTTTAACAACAGTTTTCTTAAATATTTTTGAATGAATAAAGCTCAATAATAGTTAGCATTTGGTTTTTAGCCTCATTAGAAATTTTTGATTATTTTGAAACGGGAATAACTAATTGCAACGTACCACATACCCATGTGTGTCAGTAATGCATCAAAATTGAAACCAAAGGTAAACTAACGCGTACAAAATATAGTTGCTAATAAACGTTTATAAGCGAGGTTCGGTAATGCATCAAAATAAGTGACTAAACAAAACATTGTTTTAACAACAGTTTTCTTAAATATTTTTGAATGAATAAAGCTCAATAATAGTTAGCATTTGGTTTTTAGCCTCATCAGAAATTTTTGATTATTTTGACACGGGAATAATTAATTGCAAAGTACCACATACCCATGTGTGTCAGTAATGCATCTAATGTAATCAAATAAATAAAATCAAATAAAAACAAGAAAGAATCAGATTCTTTTGATGGGCCTTATATAATAATTATCTAATTTTTTATATAATCTGATAAATTTAATGAATAACTCTAGTCTTGAAATTAATATAATAAATAACTCTAGTCTCGAAATTAATCTAACAAATAACTCTAGTCTTGAAATTAATCTAATAAATAACTATAGTCTTGAAATTAATCTAGTAAATAACTCTGGTCTTTAAATTATTCTAATAAATAACTATAGTCTTGAAATTATTTTGATAAATAAATCTGGTCTAGAAATTAATATAATAAATAACTCTAGTCTTGAAATTAATTTAATAACTCTAGCCTTGAAATTAATCTAATAAATAACTATAGCCTTGAAATTAATCTAGTAAATAACTCTGGTCTTTAAATAAATATAATAAATAACTATAGTTTTAAAATTATTTTAATAAATAAATCTAGTCTAGAAATTAATATAGATAACTCTAGTCTTGAAATTAATCTAATAAATAACTCTAGTCTTGAAAATAATCTAATAACTTTAGTCTTGAAATTAATTTAAAAAATAACTCTAATCATAAAATTAATCTAATAAATAACTCTAGTCTTGAAATAAATTTAATAGACAACTCTAGCCTTTAAATTAATCTTATAGATTACTCTGGTCTAGGAGTTAATCAAACAATTAACTCTCAAAACTTAGATAACTGAAATTATTTAAACAATTTATTACTTACTACTAATTATTTTGGCTTATTTAAATGAAATTTTTTCGAATATTTTAAATGCAATCTTTACTTAACCGCATAATTACTATAAAAAGCTACTTTTTACATTCTTAAAATATTGTTTCTAACTTAATCTTTAATTTTTTTATGTCCTCTTTTTTCCAATATTGGAAAGTTTTTAATTGCAAGCAACACCTCATGCAATTGAGGTATCTTTTTTTGTAAAAAATGAGCACGAAAAGCTTTATTAATTGCTTCATTTTCCTCCTCAGTCCATGTTTCCCATGTCTTTTTCTATAAATTAATAAACATTTTAATAAGCTGAAACATTTTAATAAGCTGAAACATTTTAAAAATTTTACAAACTTTAAAAATATTTTTAAAATATTACATTTAAACCAGTTGTGATACCAATAAATACCTTTTTATGAGGTTTTAACATGTCCTCACAGTTATTAATTGGTGTGTTCTGTTTTCTTTTTTCTATAGAAAAATATTTATCAAATAAAATAAGAAAACAGATTATTACTGCATAAAGGGTTGGTATTCCCAAACTCTTTAGCCATGTAACAATTTAAAAATAATTTAAAATTTTATTTTATTGTTAAATATTACCATTTACTATTACCTGACTGTTTACCCATTGGAACACTAACACCATGAGAGTTATTTTCCAAAACTCCAATACTTTCATCAAGAACTTCGTCGATCTTCTTGTTCTTAAAAGATTTTCCATCATCAATCGCTACAAGAACTTTAGCTACTTTGGTTAGCTCTATGGTAGCGTCTTCCTTTCTATACCAATTCATGTGAACATCTTTAGTATGACCAAAATGGTTTGTAAGCCATGTTAATTCAGCATTGTTCATATCTAGTAGCTGCATCATAGTTGCCAAAAGTTTGCGTGTTCTTGTAGGTGTTATAAGTCTTGGTTGTTGAAGATTTGAAACACTCTTAGTTATGTTTTGAAGAGTATCCCAACCTTTTAAATAAAACTCACTGTATGCGAAAACGTAAGGGTTATTATCATGAGCATCTAGATATGACCTATGCTTTACAATTAACCTAATAGCATCAATCATTTCACTTGTAAAAAGTATAGGCACTAAAGCATTTTTACCCTTCCCTTTTTTATTTTTCCCTTCAATATAGCACACCTGCATACGATCGGCAAGAATTTTTTCTACAGGGTCTTCAAGGCTGTTAATATCAGTTTGCCGTTTCCATCTTCCATCCTCAACACCTTGCCACTGCAAAAGTTTTAATTTTAATACTTCGCCACCACGCCTAGCATTAAAAGTTAGTACTCATGTCAAAGTTAATTTAGCAAGTTGTTTTACATCTTTATTTGAAAAACTAGAAGACTCAATGCGATAAACACTGTCTCTCATTTCATCCAAAATGTGTTTTCTTAAAATCATTATGTCACCCTCCAATGGTAGTTCTTCAGGCTGATTTGCTTTATCAGATTCATAAGTTGACCTTGCATTTCCTGCCATAACTTGCCAGTCACTATCATATAACTCTAAAAAGTTTCTTAATTTTTCAATTTTAATAGAGCGATTTTCTCTCAAAGCAAGTGCTCTGACAGTAAGTGCTAGATTGCGTAATCAAAAACCTGCCTTTAGAAAAGTATTAGGTTTTCCTATATCTCTAGGGCCATTATATTTAAAGAGAATTTTGACTGCTGAAGTAATAAGATCAAAATTTTCAGGTAATACCAACAAACTTGCAACAGCATTTTCTTGCTTATCATTCTTTCGAAATATTTGCAAGATTCGAGCAAGGCAACGCAAAGAATACCTTATGTCATGATATCTATCTTTTTGTTTTTTTTGCATTTCAACAGCAGCGTACATTAATAATGAATTATCATTACGAATAATAAGGTGAAGATCGTCACGCTTCATTTTTGATAGTATGAGCTCATGCACTTCACCAAATTTCTTATCACCAACAGCTACACCAAGCATAGCTCGACTTAAAGATAAATTTTTATTTAAAGATATTTCCATAAATTTTGCTTTATAGTTTTTAGTATGTTTGTAAAGAGTTTTAGCATTAAACATGTGATGACAATTTATGCAAGGTACAAGGTCCATTACTTTGACTGATGACTCTCTTACAACAAAAAGATTGTTTTGATTTGCTTTTAAAAGATTTATATTAGCTACGTAATCGCCTTGCCTGGTAATTAGTTTCCACGCCTGAGACCTTTCTTTACTTCTCAATGGGTAAGAAAGCGCTTCCTTAACATCATCTTCTGTTTTATGAATATTCATAAAATGTCGAGGAGGGTTCCAAACACGTTTTTTACAATACAAACAAAAGTGCATTTTATGACCACTTTTTCGTTTCGGAATATCTAGAATTAGTTTTTAAATTTTATTATATTGTATTAACTTATTGGATTATATACATAATCCAAGAGTGAAACTAATTTTAATTTAACTATATTTAACTATAATTATCTATCTGTAATTAAACAGTTTTTAACAAAACAATAAAATATTTACCAACAGCATCACCCTTAATTTTGCAGACAACTGTATCAGTTAGATTTTCAATAGATTTTTCAGAAGAAATCTGCTCATAGTTACTCAATTTGGATGTTATAGAACTGCTGACATCAGAATAGCTACAAGAAGCTTGACAATCTTGCAGTATGGGATTTATCTTTGGAATTTTTTTATCCATAGCTGATACATTAACATCAACCCTTTCTATTGAAGCATTTGCTTCCTCAATTTCATCAAGATCACTACTTTCATCACTACTTAGGTTGCTTGGTTGATAATCGCCATCACTACTGTCATTCTTAAATAAATTGAATAATATAAATATAAAACCATTATATTTTTATATAAAAAAAAAAGCTATTGTTATAAATAAAGAGAAAGTAGAAATACATCATACATCAAACTCATCTACATCATGCTCAACTTCAACAAAACTCTAAAGAAAGTAAAAAAAACATTTAATTGAATAAAAATGTAAAAAATGTAAAATTTAAAACAAAATTAAGTATTTACATTAATTGAATGTATTTCTAAGCCACTGTCTTCTTCAGCACTGGTCTCTGCATTTTCTGTCTAAAAACGATGTTCTAATGGAATTATGATTTATAAAAAACTGGTTGAAAATATACCTGGGATGTCAAAGTTTAAGTATCAGTAACTTGTAAAAGTAGGAGATCCTCAACAGACTTAAGAATCGGTTAAAAAAACAACTATACTGATTTCTTTGAAAAAATTTTAAATTTATACTTTTGTAATTTATTAATTAATAACTTTACAAAATACAAGCGGGTTTAAAAATTTATTAAACAGGTATTGACAACAAATAAGTAAAATAAGACACATGATGTAACAAATCATAACTTAAATTCTAAAAAAAAGCTAAAAAAAAAAACATACTTCATTCAATGGAGAAGATGAAATTTCTTTTCTAGCCTAGATAATGTATGGAAGATTAAACAGATTTATTTAATTCTATATGCAACAAGTTGTAAAAAAAAAAAAGAAGATAGCTTTAAGAAATTTATAAATTAAACAAATAATATTATTTAAAATTTTACTACTTATGAAAACTTTCTAGATACCCGTAATTTTAATTTGTAGGTAGAAATTTTATTTGGTGTTGAAGTAAGAAACTTCTAAAGTAACAATAAATAATAATATTTATATCACAAATAAATTTTTTTTAATCAATTAGATTCTGAAAACAAATATTTTACAATCTTACATTATTATCAACCTGAACATTACAGATTTCTTGGCGCTGCAAAGATTTCTCAATAAGAAACTAAAATTATTATTGCAATATATTTAATGAGAGTCAGATAAATAATTAAAACTAATTAAAATATTCAATTTTTTCAAATAATTCAAATATTGAAATATTTACATCGAATTCACCATCAGAAAACATATTTTCAATATCCTAAAATTATAAATGAGAACTTTAAAACGTTACATTTGAATGAAAATTGTAAAATATCATAGAATAAGTTTATAGGATTCTATTTTAAAAGCATGTAAGAAAATGGGCACAAACATATAAATAATCAAAATTCTGATTATGGTTTCCAAAAAGCCACACTTAAAAAAACTGGCAGTTTACATTTCATAATTTTAAAAAATTGCGATTGACCGCAGTTTTTGGTTTTTCTTGTAAAATAATAAAAGTTAAAGTAAAAGTAAAATAATAAAAGTTAAGTTTATCTTTATCTTATAAGTTTATGTTATGGAGATATAAAATTGTAAATCTTTCTATGATTTTATGTTTTTATGCTCGTAATGGTTCTGCAAAAACTCCTGTTTAAACTCATCAGTGGATTTGGGATATGTGTGATGCTATCTGAATTAAGAAGTGTATTTAATTCATCTTTAGGACAATCAGTTAAACTTTCTGATGTTGTAAACAGGTGTGGATACAGAAAGAGAGAGGAGGGGGAGGGGTGATGTTGATAATTCAATATTCACAATACCCCATTATTTAAAAATCCCACTAGACATTCATTTTTATTTACTTTTTTACTCGCACGAGCATGTTTTGGTGGCTTGAATCAAAAGTTTTTAAACTGTAGAGCTGGTGTTAACTAACTTTTAACTGGCATTAATGAACTTTTAAACTGGTTATTATTATTTTGTAATTCACTGGTATTAATAAACCTCACATAATATGCAGTTTTTATGCACATTAAAATAAATGATTGCAAAATAATTGGAAAAATTCCAATGCAAGTCGTTTTGGAACTGCTGTACAAAAAATACCAAAGCAAGGGTCGTGCTTGACAACAAACATAATCCCATGCTATTTGATATTATGAAGACATAATGTTTCATGTGAAAAAGAGTGCCATGAAGCATTTCACTTAGAGTATGCAATTCAGTAAATGTCTGGAATGAACATTTCTTTGTTTTTTAAAATGGCCTAGTCATTGCTAAATTGAATTCCAACAATAACAACATGCAGATGCTGTTCGATTTTATTATCATATTCCTAAGTAAGTTTTTTCGGAAAAATCTGATTGCGAACTGATAAAATTTGGATTTCATTACTTTCTGTACATTCAATAAAATTTCAGTGTAGTCAATAATCGCATCCTTCACTGATTCAAAACTGAAATTTTGACTGTCATACTCAATTATTTTTTTTGTTGAAATATTCAAAATGAAAAGGCATAAAACCTATTTATTAGACTTAAAATATTAGATATAAAGGTATTAGAAATGTTAGAAATAAAATTTATATATTATTATTATAAAATAAGGAAAAAAAAAACAAAAATATGAAATCTAAATCAGTATCAAGTAAAAATTATGGATAAAATAATGTTCTTATACATTTTTTTATACTTATAAAGATCTAAATAATCTAATGAAAATATATTTACTTAGAAATGGGATTTTTTTTTATACCTTTCTATACTAAATAAATATTAAAAGCAGTTATACAAAAATCTGCAAAACCATTTTTGAAAACCAACGGTTTTATCAGTTTTGACAAAAAACCGCTGCTTTTGGTTTTTGGTTAAAACTGATTGGAAACCCTAATTCTAACTGAATTTTCTTTTAAAACCTCATCCACAGCTTGTACAGGGCCTTTAAACTTGTCTGCACATTTGAATAAATTCTAAAAATATGTAACAACTTTATACCTAGTATGTTGATATTTTTACTAAATACAGGTCAAAACCTTTATTTCCCAGTCTGTGTGTTATTTAAATTATGCAAATAAAAGTAATTGAATTAATTAAAATACTAAGTTAGGTAAACAAACTGGCGTGTTCTGGTCTTCTTTGTTACTATTTTTAACTTTCTCATCCTGAAATAAAAACATTTTAGTTTATATTTCAATAAAAAAATTTATATGAGAAAAATTTTTTTAAACAAAATTGAAAAAATTAAAAACTGCAATTAATTTTTTTAAAAACCTTATCTATGGCAAGTACAGGACCATTAAACTCATCTGCACATTTAAACAAATTCTAAAAATATAATTAACAACTATATACCTATTATGAAGATATTTTAATTAAATACTGGTCAAAACCTTTATTTCTCAGTCTGTGTCAATAATACAATAAGTTGATTATTTATAAATAAGAGTCAATAATTCATTTGTGTTTTAAATATAATTCTGCCTAAACACCTAAGGCATATTTAATCAAGTGTTTTAAATTCTGTGTCTATTAAATCTTTATCTAAATTATGTAAATAAAATTAATTGAATTAATTTAAATACTAAGTTAGGTAAGCAAACTGGTGTGATCTGGTCTTCTTCATTACTAGTTTCAACATTCTCATTCTGAAATAAAAAAATACTTGTGTATATTTTTATAAAGAATTTTTAGATGTTGATACACTAAAATGCTGAAAAATAAGGTTAAAATAAAAATCAATGATCTAAAGTAAGCTTTAACAGGGCTAAAAACAGAGCTTTTCACAAACCCGAACCCGGCTAAACAAACACAATTTGCAGGGGTTACTAGCCCGGGTCGAATTTTTTATTTTTATTTATCCTTTTTAAATATTTTTATTTATTCGGTTCAAATTTTTAATAAAAGTTATCAAAAATATATGAAAAAGTCATACAAATACTTATATGTTATTTATCATATATATACTTATATGTTATTTCTCTTAATTATATACTTAGGACAAAATAATTCATAAAAATTTACAATAGAAAATAACAAACAAGAGAGGGGGTTAATTTTCCGTCCCCCCTTAGGAATTGATAAAAAAATTTTCAGTTTTTAGTAGCCCCCCCCCCCCCTTTAATGATGAAGAAAATGCCCTATAATTTTTAGGATCTCAGCATTAAGATTATGATGATGATGTTGATAATGATGATGATCATAATGATGATGAATACTATGATTTAAAAACTAAAAACTTATAAACTATATCATAAACTAAAAATTGGTCAATTTTTTACATTCTATAAAAATATAGTTTAAAAACCTTTTGATAAAAAAATAATTTCCAAAATTTAGGTGAAAATGCATGTATTTAACGTGTATTTAACTAACTATTTTAAAAAAATGATGATAAAATAGAAACAATTTATCAAAGGGGCCATCCATAATGTACGTACACAGTATGACCACTGGTTTAGGATCCCCTCCCCCTTGTACAAACCTGTACGCTTTCGAAAACCTCCGCCTACGTACGCAACTTTTTTACAAATTAATGTACAAAACAGAATTTAAAAAAAAGTAACTAAAAAAAAGTTTGCTTTTATTTGATATCTTTTTGCCTCTCATATCACTACCAATCAAATTACATCGCAAAAAAAAAAAAAATTATTTGGAACCATTATCTCTCAATTTCTTTTTTTCTCCCCTCATTTTTATATAAAAATTTAAAAAAACACAATACTGATTTGTTATACACATAAAATTCAATGTTATAAAAAGAATAAAAAATAAAATCAAGTTTAGGAGAGATAGTCAAACCGCATACGTACTCACTGTCTTTAACACCCTTTCCCTCTTGTAGACATTCACATGCCTTTGGATAAAGCTCCTCCTCACCCATACCTGCCTATGTACTTAATGTTTGGCCCCAAAACTTAAAAGTGAAAAATTAAAAATTAAAAAACAAAAAATAAATAAATCATACCTGAAACTTTAAACATTTAGCATTTTCATTAGATCTAAAAAATAAAACATTTCATAACATATCAAAACATTAAAACGAAGTATTTATGATTATATATTAACTATATATAATATTTCATAGGTTATATAAAATAATTGAAAAAAAATATATAAATTTATATTAAAGTTACTTAAATAAAGGCTCTTTTAACATTTTAAACACTTCTTCGTTGCTGGAATCTTTCAATGACATATTCTAAAATTCAAAAGCCATATGACTACAAAATAATTAAACAAATAAGTGACTTACAAAGCTATAATGAATAATGAAGTTATATAAGTTTCATTAAGTACTTGAAATAATTTAAATACCATTACTATTTCTTTTAATCTACCAATAATCTAAAAAATAATAACTTTAAAAAAAAAAAAAAAAAATCATTATTTATAAGTTCATAAGTATATAATCTTGACTACATATACACAAACCTCGGTATTAGAAAAACTATATTTGGCAAAAATTGCAGACCTTACACTGTTTTAGGTTGGCATCAGGTTAGCAAATTCATTTATTGACAAACTTTGTACTTATAAACTTTAAGGTGAACCTTTATGACAAAGGTTTCACCATTAAAAATATACTGATAACATATACAGTTAGGTTGGAATCGCTGAACCTAATTTAGAGGGCAGTTTATATATATATATATATATATATATATATATATATATATATATATATATATATATATATATATATATATATATATATATATATATATATATATATATATATATATACATATATATATATATATATATATATATATATATATATATATATATATATATATATATATATATATATATATATATATATATATATACATGTACATGTACATGTATATATATATATATATATATATATATATATATATATATATATATATATATATATATATATATATATATATATATATATATATATATATATATATATATATATATATATATATACATATATATATATATATACATATATATATATATATATGTATATATATATATATATATATATATATATATATATATATATATATATATATATATATATATATATATATATATATATATATATATATAATTATTAAATCAGAAAACTGCTTTTATATTCAATTAGAAAAAACAAAAGAGAAATATGTTACAAATACATACCAATGTATGTATTTGTAACATATTTCAAAGTGCAAAGTTATTTATTTTTATTTTGAAATTTCAAAATCTTGAATCAAAAAGTTAAAGATACCTGGACACAAGTTAATCGCAATTCTGGATCATTGCACCATCCTCCAACAATTGTTTCAACAAGATGTCTTGTGCCAGACTCCAAATATATTTTAGAAATAAGACTTGTATCTGGTCTTTCTCCTTTTTCAAGAGCTTGAGTTAAAAAAATATCTTTATAAATAGAAAAGTGATTTTGCCATGGTGAGTCTAATCCTGACATAATTTCAAAAAAAGATAATGACATGGCATTAACATCTGACTCTTTAGTGACAATATTTACAGTTCGATTGCAAATTTTAGGAGAAAGATAAGCTATAGTTAAACCAGCAAATCCATCTTTTACCTTAGTCTTTGTTGCCATTGTTTCCTTCATTATAGCAAGGTCACAAAAATCAGAAAGTTTGATCACTATTTTACTTAAAGTGCCCTGAACTAAAATATTTGCAGGCTTAAAATCATGATGCACAATGTTTAAGTCGTGCAAATATTTTAATCCATTTGCTGCTTGTAAACAGTAATCCAAACGCTCCATATAATTAAAATAAGTTTCTTCGTTGAATAAATTTAATAACTCTGGTAATGAATGACATAAGGTATTTTCTACTAGAACATAACAGTAGTCAAAAAAAATTGCTGTAGATCTAAAACTAAAGCCAATATATGCAACAATATTTGGATGATCAAGCTTTTTGAATCGATTTGACATATAAAACATTTTTGATTTAGGGAACTGATGTTTATAAAGTTTACAAGCAACAACCTTCTTTTTATGAGAAAATTTATAAACTTTAGCAAATGAACCTTCACCAATAAATGCATCTTCAGGCATGTGTAGAGGTAGCTCTACAATAAACTCACTGTTTTCTTTTTCAATCTGATTTAAGCTTTTAGAATTAAGAAAACTGAAGTTTGCCATTTTTAAAATTAACTAGTAGCGCATTTAAAAATAAACAAAATAGTTTTAGAAGAGCGAAAAATTACCGGTAACGAAAAGAGTAAGTTATGTAAGTCAATAAAGTTGTTAATTTTATTTATAATTTAAGGTTATTATCACTAAAATTAAATATATCATGTGTAAAAATATAATTAACATATAAATCTTACAATTCCTTAAAGGGTTCAATAACGATGGATTTTACGAAAAATATGTGTACAGTCATTCTGGGTAACTTTGAATTTGCGGGTAACATTGAACTAAACGTGTAAATGTTTTTAAATTTTTTTTTCTTTAGTATTTTCTTTGCCTGTTGCTTTAACAAAGAATAATATGATGAATTATCTTTTTTTACAAAAGTTTGACCAAAGAAAATTAAATTTTATTTCTCAAAAATAATGTTTTCCTCCATTTCCAGTTACACAGTCGAATGTGGTGATAACATCGTGTGTTTTCAATTTAGAATATTTGGTATTATATTGTAATTATCTGAATAGGTTTTTAAGTATTTTATTGAATTATTTTTCGAACTTTAATACAAACTCAAAATAATAGGATTTAACAATTTTTTTGCTACAAAAAAGATATTTATTTCCACTTAGCTAAAGTATAACCAAATTCAGGGTAACTTTAGACAATCAATATTTTCCAAAAATGCTTTTTTTGTTGTCTGAGTAACATTGCAATAATACATAATAAATAATAGGCATCTTTTTATTATAGTATTTTGATTATATAATGATATATGATATTATAAATATTAAAAATTATAACATATATTACTAATATATTAATTTTTGATATTTATGACTATCTTGATAGATTTAATAATATATTTTATTAAAAGCAAATATGCGATTAATTAAATAATTTTCATTAATAACATAAATCATCTTTATATTTTTAGCATTCATAAAATGCCAAGAAAATGTTCGACAAGTCATCCTGGCACAAGAGAATATGGTACTAAATCTAATTACACTAATTCTACACTTCAAGAGGCTTTAGCCAAAATTAAATTAGAAAAAATGTCGATTGGTGAAGCTTCTAAAATTTATAAAGTACCTAAAGCAACATTATTTTATAAGCTAAAAAATAAACACTGTAAATCAGTAGGGCGCCCTATTGCCCTTAGCATTGATGAAGAACTTTGTTTTGAAAATTACTTACTTTATTTAAGTGACAAAGGTATACCAATTGGAATTAATGATTTTAAAAGTATTGTCAAAATGTATTTGGATGATAGTGGAAAAAATATACAACAGTTTAAAGATAACCGACCAGGTTGGGAGTGGTGTAAACTTTATCTTGACAGGCATCCATCATTAAAAGAAAAAGTATCTCATTGTATTTCAAGGAAACGTGCACAGATTAGTTATTGTCAAATAAAAAACTTATTTTTCGTCGATCCTCTCGCCATCCAGAACTTATAAGAAACACAACAAAAACTTGTTACATTGTTGTTTTTTGTGGAAATGCCTCAGGAAAACTAATTCCACCATTTTTCATTTTTAAAGGAAAACACAGTTGGTCTGACTGGCTTTTCAATGCACCAGAAGGATCAAGAATGGCAACTTCTTGCAGTGGCTAGATGGAAATTCAAATATTTGAAGAGTGGCTGTTAAGTCACTTTGTTCCAAATATTATAAATAAGGAAGGTAAAAAAATTCTGATTTGCAATAATTTAAGTGCTCATATATCTTTAAAAGCCTTAAACATATGTGAAAAGTATAATATAACATTTATATGTTTGGTACCCAATTCCACACACCTTTTACAACCTTTAGATGTTGGATATTTCTCGAGTTTAAAAGCTAATTGGAGGTCAGTTCTTAATCAATGGCGTAAAACATCCAGAGGAAAAAAGGTTAATAATCTGCCAAAAAATTTATTTACGCAGCTCATTAAATCTACTCTTAATGTTGGTAAAGAAAATCTAGAACATAATCTCCAAGCAGGATTTAAGGCTACTGGCATATATCCATTTTTACCAGAACATGTTCTCTCCAAATTACCCAGTTTTACAAATATAGATATTCAACTCAATATTGGAGAATCGTTTAGGAATTATGTTGATGATATTCATCTTAATTATGAAGTAAGCAAAAAATTTAAGTTACCAATAACAGCAGGGAAAAGTGTATCAGCCACTGAGGTAGAAGCATACTATAAGGAAAGAGACAATAAAAAAAAAAGTCAAGATAATATTCGAGCAAAGAAAAGAGGAAGACCACTTGGATCAAATAATATGGTTATGAAAATAAACAAAAAACTTAATATTTTACAAAGTTCAAGCATCGTAAATGTTAATCAAGTTATTGAAGACGATGAACAAGTTTTACCTGTATCTCAAAATGATGCAGTTTTTTCATTGGAGCAAATAAACAATCACTATGTACATGTTTTCCTTGATCATGATTATTTTGTAAAAGAGTTAGTTGAAACTCAAGACTAAAAGAAGGAAACACTGTAATATTTAGTTTTATAGTCAATGGTGTTTATTTGTGGAGAATTATATAAAAATAATGTCTTATTTAATTTTTTCTTTTATAACTTTAAAAATTATTTTGTGAATATTTTATTGAAAAACTTGTTTGTTTATTCTCGAAATATTTTATTGAAAAACTTGTTTGTTTATTCTAGAAATATTTTAAACTATTTCGAGAATAAACAAACAAGTTTTTCAATAACTAGATTTTTTAAAAAATTAATTTAAACTTATACAAAGAAATTTAAACAACTTTTTAGATTTAAAAGATTAAAATTGACATTCAGTTTAATAGTGTTCAAAGTTACCCGAAATGCGAGGGTAACTTTGAACGCCTACTTGAACATTGTTTTTTTACATAATATCTAGCTAATTTAAAAAAATGATAGCAAACTAGAAAAAAGAGATCATCAGAACACTCTTTATGTAAAAATATTTGTTATCTAGTTAGTAAAACAATTTTTGTTGAGATAAACCTAGCGCAAACCGTTCAAAGTTACCCGTAATGACTGTAAGTGTAAAAATACAAACACCAACTTATCGGCTCAATAAAATTCAGACTACTTTGAGGATATAGAAACGATAATGATGCAAAATAGGGCAAACTGACCAAAATCTGGCCACTTCTTACTTATTTGTTTTAAATATAAATTCGCATAGCGTAATATAAACAAAACAATTTTAATATTAATAGGATATTCAAAGATGAATATATTTACAAATTTTTTTTTTTTAATTAGGCTAGACAAGCATGCTTAAGCACCAATATTTTAGACGTACGCTAAAAGACCTATTTCTGGCCACTTGGATATAATTCTAGCTGGTTCTTACCTAATTCTGGCCATCGGTCAGATTAAGGCACAATATAGAAATAAAAGGCCGAAACTAAGCTTGTTTACTTATTACAAGTTTAGTCAGGTATACTAAGTAGAACATAGCAATAACTAGGATGTTAAAAGATTTATATTCAAGTTAAAGATAATAAACAAAATAAAAACGAATAATTAAAACAAAATAAAGCAAAATAAAAACGATTAATGATTAAAAAGAAAATATTTATCTTCATTTCTTTTGCAGTTATAAATATTTTTTTTCACTTTGTATTTTTTTTTTTGTTCTTGGAGTAATTTTTCTTCATTCTTTTTCTTTTTCAAAATAATATTTTCTTTTTTCTTTTCTTTTTGGAGTAACTTATTTTTAACTTCTGCATGTTTGTACTCCATAGCTTCTTTCGATGTTAGCAAAAAATATTTTTGTTTTAATGCTGTTTTATTTTTTTTTATGATTTGTGTTGGATAAGGTAAAACATCAGAATCTGGATCTCCTGGAAAAGAATGATTTTGAAATGGAAAATTTCGATAGATATCTAAACCTCCTAACTCTTTTTTTCTTGTGACATCTTGATTATTAATATTACCAGAAATTAAATTAGTTGCTGGTGTATTAGAAATGACACTATCTTTATTATTAATATTAACAGAAACTAAATTAGTTACTGATGTATTAGAAATGGCATATGTATGATCAAAATTTAAAGGTGGAGATTTGTTAATTGCTAACGCTGATATAGAAAAGTCAACTTCTTCCTCATTTGTTGGATTTGATGGATATTCCATAAACTCTTCTATTTCACAATGATCATTAGATAGTGATGTTAATTTGTCTACGTTATTCAATATGTTCTCACTTTTTTGATGGCTTTCTGATGGCATGTATAGAGAATTAGGAATGTAAGCTTCGGTTGGAACTATATTTGGATCATATGGATAGATTCCACAAGCTCGAAAACCAGATTTAATATTATTTACAGTAACAGATTCACTCCAAGCCTGCTTCATCAAGCCACAAAAACTAACTTTTGAAACTAGTGTCCCAGGATAATTACTAATCAAATTCTCACATGCTTTTCTGTAAGCTTTTTTGAGTGGGCCAAACACTGTCCTATCACAAGGTTGTAGCCAGTTGGAAGTGTGCGCAGGCAATTCAACAATTTGTATTTTGTTTGCCACAGCCACATCTAATAACTCAACAAAGTTGTGTGAGTCATGTCCATCTAAAATAAGTAACTGAGGTCTGTCAGAACCAATATTTGGAAGAAATGACTTTGTAAACCAGAGAAACGCAATGCCCTGCTTCGTCCAACCACTGTCTGAAACACTCCATGTGCTTCCTTCAGGGGCATTTTCAATTTGAAAATTGCACAGAGATCTTATAGTTTTTCCTTTTACTATAAAATGTGGAGGAATAGAGTTACCGGTTGCATTAAAGCATGCTATAACAGTAATTGTTTCCCGATTACCTGAAGTACGACTATGTAGATACTTTACTCCTTTTTTAGCAATTATTTTTTCAGGGCGATAATCAAACTGCATACCAGTTTCGTCCATATTCCAAATGTTTTGTGGTTTATTATTTAAGTTGTTTTCCATTAATACATTTTTGAGAACAGAAAAATATTTAGAAACTTTAGAAGCATTCATACATTGATGTTTAATAGCAGCTGTTCCTTCTGGTTGACGTAAAGTAAAGTGCTTGTGCCTTTTGCACATTCCACGCCACCATTTTTCAGAAGGTGTTCCATTCTTAAATGATTTTTTATGTTTTAAAGCAAAGTTTTCTGCACATTTAAAAAATTGAGATCGACCGAATCCTATTCCTAAAGATGCACGATTGCATGCAAAATTTACTAATTTAATTTCTTCTTCTGCAGTTACAGTAGTTGGATGTTCGGGTTTGGCTCCAATTTCGGTTACTCCAGATAGTCGAACTTGCAATGAACTTCTTGGAACGCCAAAAGTTTTACAAGCAGCTCTCTGTGAAAATCCATTTCTTACAGCTTCAACTGCTGATATCATAGATGCATTATTCCATAGATAGTGTTTTCCACGTTTACTTCTAGGCACTTTGATTTTCTTTGAATTATTTTTAACTATTTTATTTTTCTTCATTTTTTCCATTCTAAAGAAAATTAGAAAAAATTAAAATTATTATGATTCTTGTGGCTAATCCTCTCTGTTTTTTACATTTATCTTACTGTATATGTAAGATTATATTATTAACAGCAATAATATAATATTTATAATAGTATATATTTATATGTAACATAAATTGCATATAAACAAATACTATTATAACTAAATATTATATACATGCATAAATTTATATATATAATATTTAGTTTAACGTTCATGATTTCACACTTGGTGTGGCTTAAATGGTTTTTCATATTTCATATTATCATAATATATCATATTTCATAAATATATATATATATATATATATATATATATATATATATATATATATATATATATATATATATATATTTTGTTAGATCGACTTAAAGTGGCCTTTTCATTGGTAAAAACTTAACTTAAAGCGGACTTTTACTTAAAGTGGACTTTTTTGAGTCCACCTTACGTTTTTGATTAGTTTTTAGACTAAGTTAAAGCTGTTGAAAAGTTAAGAGCAAGTTTTTCTAATCGGACTATTGCTTCTATAAAGGTTTGCGGATAGGAAGTTTTGTTTTAAAAGCATAATTTTGAGTTTAAGTGTTTGTTATTTTGACCATGTATATTTCGTCACTGTACAAAAAAACACTTAAAGTGGATCTATATTTTGAGACTAGGTTTTGTGTATAAATCTTTACAATATTTAATCGAGTTTTTTAGTTCTATAAGACATCATACACCTTATACTAACCAAACTTAAATGAAATGTTAAATCTTTCTTTCTACAGATATAACATAAAAAATGCAATTAATGAGGTCGCTAACGCATAGATTTTGTTCAAAAAAAAAAAAAAAATTATTATAAGTTAAATTAAAAGAATTTATTAACCAAGGTAAAGTTAAATTTGTTTATCTGTAAGAAAGCAATAAAATAATTTGTAAAACTAAATTTAAAGCAACCCTTACACATTATTTTTACACTTAATTTAAAGTCCATTTAAAGCAAACTTTTCAACATGTTTTGTATAAATCCATTTAAAGCGAAATTTCAAACATATTTTAAATAAATCCACTTTAAGCGAAGTTTTAAATGTTTTAAATAAGCTCACTTTAATAAGTTTTAAACAAATTAAGTAAGTCCATTCCAAGCGAGATTTTAAGCGTTTCAATGTAAATAAATCCAGTTTTAAATGTTTTTAATAAGCTCACTTTAAGCAACATTTTAAACAATTTAAGTAAGTCCATTTTAAGTGACGTTTTAAACGTAAATAAGTCCACTTTAAACGGACTTTTAAACGTTTCAAAATAACACTTTAAACAAAGTTTAAGCATGTTTCAGAAAGCCGATTAAGTAAAAGCGTTGAAAATAAATTATATTTATCAACATAACCAAAAAAATATATGCTAATAATCTTTATTTATCATATAACTAATGCTACAAGAACAATCTATATATTATTTTCAATTCTATTTTTATAACTTAATTACTACGGTTTTAAATATTTGAGTTCAAACTTAAAAAAAAGGGCGGTGTATAGGTATCGTTGACGTCGAAAAACGCTTTAATTTTGTTTAAATTTTAAAAAACTTAACTCCAGACTCCTTAAAATCCTATGTCTTTTTTTATATAAAAATAAATCATGGTATTGCACCGTAATAGTAATAATAATAATAGCAATAATAATAGCAATAATAATATATTATACTAATATACGATAAAAAAATAATAATTATACAAATTATAGTAATAAAAAAGTATGCTTACAATATTTGCAATGAAAAAAACAATAATAATAACTAATATTATGATGGTAGTTATCACCATAAATGTTTTTTTTTTTATTTTTTTTTCCTTAGATTTAGGTTTAAAAAAGTATTTTACCAATTAAAAAAAAATTATTAAAAAAAATTAGCGAAACTTGAAGATATTAACAATATAAAACAGGTTTGTATATACGTGATCTTATGGATTTCGATTTAGATGACAGCCCATACGTTAAAATATCGCGACGTTAGAATTATCTTGTTTTATCTCCACTTTCTGAAAAAATTGAGTTAATGATAGTGTTGTGTTCCTTAAAATAATTTCTTTCTACTGAATTGAAATCTAAATTATAAGTAAAAAAGTTGCGGAAAAAACATAAGTTATATAAAAAAATTTA